CTAATTGGCAGCCAGTGGAGCTGGTGTAACAGCGGAGTGGTGTGCTCCCTGTACCCAGCACCCGTTAGTAGTCTGGCTGCCGAGCGTTGGACTAGCTGCAGCTTCCGGGCAGTCTTCAGAGGCAACCCCACGTAGAGAGCGTTGCAGTAGTCTAAACGGGATGTAACCAAAGCGTGGACCACCGTGGCCAAGTCAGACTTCCCAAGGTACGGGCGCAGCTGGCACCAGGCTCAGCGATGAATCTAGGAGAACTCCCAAACTGCGAACCTGCGCCTTCAGGGGGAGTATAACCTCGTCCAGCACAGGCTGCAACCCTATGCCCTGTTCGGCCTTTTGACTGACCAGGAGTAACTCTGTCTTGTCTGGATTTAGTTTCAATATGTTGTCCCTCATCCAGTCCGTCACAGCGGCCAAGCACCGGTTCATGACTTGGACAGCCTCCTTAGTATCAGGTGGAAAGAAGTGACAGAGTTGGACATCATCTGCGTACAGATGGCACCGAACCCCAAAACTCCGGATGATCTCTCCCAACGGCTTCATGTATATGTTAAACAACATAGGGGACAGTACTGAACCCTGCAGGACTCCACAGTACAATGGCCGAGGAGTCGAGCAGGAGTCCTCTAGTGACACCTTCTTAAGCTTCGTGATGGTTCATAGCAGGAGATACGTTCGGACAGGTAATCTGGGCCAGAACAGTTCAGGACTTTAAAGGTTAAAACCAGCACTTAGAATTGTGCCCGGAAGCTAATCGGCAGCCAGTGGAGCTGGCGCAACAGAGGAGTGGCACGCTCCCTGTACGCTGCTCCAGTTAACAACCTGGCCGCCGACCACTGGACTAATTGGAGCTTCTGAGAAGTTTTCAAGGGCAGCCCCACGTAGAGAGCATTGCAGTAGTCTATTCGGGATGTAACCAGAGCGTGGACCACCGTGGCCAAGTCAGACTTCCCAAGGAAGTGTTGTTGGTGTTAATTGTCTTCAAGTCATTCAACTTGCTTCAACGCTATGAATATGAGTTCCCCAAAGCACGCTGCCACAAGTCACTCTGCTGAGAACCTGCTGACTCAAGGCTGTGGATTCCTTGGTTGACTCCATCCAGTAGGAAATACAGTCTTCTTTTCCCACTGCTCCTATTTCCCCAAGCATTATGGTCTTTTATTTCCTCAGGGCCCTTCCACACATCCCAGAATATCAAGGCAGAAAATCCCACATTATGAGTGTGGATTCAAATAACCCAGTTCAAAGCAAACATTGTGGGATTTTCTGTGTGGGATATAGGGCTGTGTGGAAGGCCCTCAGTCTCAGACGAGAGAGAAGAAGGTGAACTTGTGCTTTGGAGATGCACATTGGTTGGTTGCCTGTGTGAGGTCTTTTGTTTGGCTTTGGCCATGTGCTCCCATTGAGGGGGCAGGACTTCTGCTGACTCACTGACTTAGTTGCTGGTGAAGCTAGATGCCTTCGCTCTGTATAGTTGTTGCCTCAATCTTAGAAGCTTAGTCACTGAGGAGAGAGAAAGTGAGCTTGTGTTTTGGAAGCAAGCATTGGTTGCTTGCCTGTACTGTTTGGAACTTGTGTGGGTGTTTTTGTTGGGTCTGAGCCACATTTTCTCCCTGAGCACATGATCTAACGGGGCAAGACCTCTGTTGAGTCACTGCTTAAGGGAAAGACTAGGAGACACTACAACACTACTACCTCAAATAGGTCAGCTATTACCAACATTAAGTAAAATAATAATAATAATTATTTTTATTATTTACTGTATTGGTATACCGCCTTTCTCAACCCAACAGGCAACTCAAGGCGGTTTACAGGGGAAAATTCAATGCGCTCCATACCATAAATACATTGAAAACATTAACATATAATAAAAACCATAACAACATCAATAAAAGCATAAGTCATGAGTGTCTCCTTGTTACAAACATTGTTCATTCCCATCGTCAAGTCATTCCATATTCCTATATCAGTTCCTCTGCGTTTGTAAACACTTGCTCAAAAAACTATGTCTTGACTTTTTTTCCAAAATGTTAAAAGGGAGGGGCTGATCTGACATCCCTAGGAAGGGCGTTCCATAGCTGAGGGGCCACCACTGAGAAGGCCGTCTCTCGTCTCCGCCAGACGTACTTGTGACAAAAGCGGGACCGAGAGCAGGGCCTCCCCAGACGATCTTAAGGTCCTAGATGGGTCATAAGGGGAGATGCGTTCAGACAGGTAAGTTGGGCCAGAAATTTAAGAAGCTTGAACCTGTTTCATAGCTAAAAACACAGCAAGATCTTAACAAGATCTTAAATACTGATGTATTGTATATGTAGCGACTAGATGAATGAAAGCCAATTCTTTGGATTGTCCAGTTCATAGCCTTGTTTGTCACCATAGTTGCAGCATTTAATTGCACTCTCTATGGAGCCCCCGGTAGCGCAGTGGATTAAATCCCTGTGCCGGCAGGACTGAAGACTGACGGGTCACAGGTTCAAATCCAGGGAGAGGCGGATGAGCTCCCTCTATCAGCTCCAGCTCCTCATGCGGGGACATGAGGGAAGCCTCCCACAAGGATGATAAAAACATCAATTCATCCGGGCGTCCCCTGGGCAATGTCCTTGCAGACGGCCAATTCTCTCACACCAGAAGCGACTTGCAGTTTCTCAGGTCGCTCCTGATACGACAAAAAAAAAATTGTCTATGTAGTGACTAGATGAATGAAAGCCAATTCTTTGGATTGTCCAGTTCATAGCCTTGTTTGTCACCATAGTTGCAGCATTTAAGTGCACTCTCTATGGAGCCCCCGGTAGCGCAGTGGATTAAATCCCTGTGCCAGCAGGACTGAAGACCGACAGGTCACAGGTTCGAATCCGGGGAGAGGCGGATGAGCTCCAGCTCCTCATGCGGGGACATGAGAGAAGCCTCCCACAAGGATGATATTCATCTGGGCATTCCCTGGGCAACGTCCTTGCAGACGGCCAATTCTCTCACACCAGAAGCGACTTGCAGTTTCTCAAGTCACTCCTGACATGACAACCCCCCCCCCCCAAAAAAACCCCCAACAGTGCTACGAATAGAGGGCATGAATAGAGGCGGGGGGGGGGGACGTGCCAAGAGAAAAGCACATCAAGCAAACCCTTGTTGGGACCATCTTCCATCTGGAAATCTATGTCCTCACTATGAAAGAAAGACCACCAAGACTCTAGCCTTGGAAGACAATCAGACTCAGCCACCAGTGATAGCTTATGATGATGACTACCTCAATTTTTGGAGCTCTGCAAACAGAAAGCAAAACACATATGCTTTTGTGGATACTCTATGGGAGGAAACCTAGGCAGCTGTGTTGCTATGTATATTGGGTAGTGAACATGGATAGTGATGAGAGATGTTGCCATGGCCTGCCGTGCTATGCAGATTGATTATTGTGTTGGAACAGAAGGTACAACAACTTCATGTCCACGTATCTACACTTAAGCTTAGTTGGGAAGGCAAAGCTTTTTGGAAAAGACCAGAAGAGACTCTGGAAGCTTAAGAAATGGAGGAAGCGTCCAGGGAGGGCACTAAGCAGCTGCAATGTCAAGAGCTGTGCTTTGGATATGGATTTATACAACCACTCTATGATTCTATGAGACTGTGTTTGTATTGGTTGGTGAGCTTTCTGTATAGTGACTTCAAACTGGTTTTGGCATTCCCTGTTGCATTAAATATCTAAAGAGACTCTTCCTGTGTCTGACTTTATGCTGTCTGCCAACACTGCCAAGTCATGGAAAAAGTGTCCTGACACCACTGCTTGCTGTTTCTCAATCCGAATCCACAAGTCCCATGAGCAGATATTCCCCCTCCTTTGGCATTGACCGTGTCTTCTTGACTTGGAACCCTCCTAACATGGTCAGTCGGATAATTGACCAGAGGCCTTTTCCTACATGCTAATTAGCCAAAGGAAAGCGGTGCTACATTCTCCTACATCAGCTGTCCGCAAGTTGGCATTCTGCCTCAATTGCAAATTATTCAGCTCAAGCAAGGGACAGACTTGGCTCGCTGCTTCAGTTTCTTCAGTTGTGTTTTTAGTACATCTGTACCTGATCAGAATATAGAGCTGTGGGTTCTGTTCATTTATTTTGAGTCAGCATGTCAGAGGGAATACTGATTTTTTCAAAGTTTCTGAGTTCTTCTAAAACCCACATGCTCACGGGTTTCTCATTTCCCCTCCTCTTATAGCTCCCTTTCTCTTCCCAGAGTCAGGCTTTGAGGTGGGGAATGTGGTTTTTGTATTGCAAGCTTTCAATTTCCCTAAAGTTCCAGACTGTTTTAGTGCCTCTCTTCATGTTTTGGGATTGAGCACATAATTCTCCACTTTCCCTGGAGGAAACCATGAAAATGAACAAAATCAGGCTACCAGTATTAAAAAACTCTAAAATTGCAACAGCACAACAACAGAGAGGAAACAAACAAGGACATCTAATCACCTCTCAACACAAGTTTGCTCCAGGCACTCTCAGGACATTATATGCTAATCAAGGTGGTCAGCTGAAACATTCACACCTAGCTCCAGCAGACAAGAGCCCTTTGTCTCACCCTGGTCTTTCCACAGATATATAAACTCTTTTTCCTAGTTCCAACACACCTCACTACCTCTGAGGATGCTTGCCATAGAAGCAGGCGAAACTTCAGGAGAGAATGCCTCTAGATCATGGCCATATAGCCCGAAAAAACCTACAACAACCCAGTGATTCCAGCCATGAAAGCCTTCGACAATACATAGGTTCCTAATTCTTTGCCACATTTCCAACATTGATTATTGTTATTTTTATAGAATTTAGATAATTGTAAGGGTGTTAGATACCAGCGGTAGAATATTTTATACCAGCTATGAAAGTCTTATTTTAATTGCAAGTATACTTATAAGTTAGTTGATGGCAGTTATATATGAGTCAGTATTGTAAATTATTATTTTTTCTTTTGGCTGAGACTTTTCTTGTGTGCCAGTGCATAAGGAACCACCCTCTCCTGAACTTTTTCAGGTGCAGAATCTGAACAATATTGTCTCCTTTCCTCTGGACAGCCTGCTGAAGGGGCAGCTTAAAGATGGTCGATCGGTAGGTATTGGGAAGGGTGTGTGCTTTTTAGGGCTGGGTGAAAAATTGAGATGGCTGGAGTTGGCCCATGCCTGTGCTAGAACTTTACACTCACTACCACTCCTTGCTGACGCTTTGTTTTCTCTTTGGTGATTTTCCTGTTTTCCCTTTTCTCCCTCCTCAATTTCTCTTTTGCTCGGCAGGAATCCAAGAAACAGATTGAAAAAGCCTGGAAGGATTATGAGACCAAAGTGTAAGTAGCTGCTGCTGCTTCTGGCAAGGAGAGGCCAATTCTTCTCCTTTCTCCCAAACAAAGGTGTTTTGTTGTGGGCCCAGCGGCACAGGATGAGAAAGTCAACCAATGGGACTTGCCCTTTAGAATTGTGCCACTGAGCCATAGGGTATGGCTGCATAATTTCTATGCATAAGATTCTACATATGACTACCAATGTTTCCAAACAGGGCTCTAATTTAAAAAAAAGCCTCTTCTCTAAAACCTGTGAAAGCTGATGCCCATCACTATAGGAAAAGAGTTCTTCCCGGGACTTGTTTGCACCAGTTTTAAACATGCAAACACAGTGCATGGAGACGGTGTTATGTTCTAAGGAGAACTGCACTAGGGGCCAGAGTGGTGCAGTGGGTTAAACTGCTGAGCTGCTGAACTTGCTGACTGGAAAGTTGGCAGTTCAAAGCTGCGGGATGGGGTGAGCTCCTGTTGTTAGCCACAGCTCCTGCCAACCTATCAGTTCAAAAACAGGGAGAGGTCAACCCTACAGGGAGAGGTCAACCCTCCTGTTTAAGGAGCTCCATTGGCTGCCGTTCATTTTCCGTTCCCAATTCAAGGTGCAGGTGCTTACCTACAAAGCCCTAAACGGTTCGGGATCCACCTACCTGCGTGACCGCATCTCTGTGTACGAACCCACACGATCTCTTCGTTCATCTGGAGAGCCCCTGCTCGCGATCCCACCTCCATCGCAAGCGCGATTGGTGGGGACGAAGGATAGGGCCTTCTTGGTGGTGGCCCCTCGACTCTGGAACTCGCTCCCCAAGGACATTAGACATGCCCCAACTCTGGCAGTCTTTAGGAGGAGCCTGAAAACGTGGTTGTTCCAGTGTGCCTTCCCAGAATAAGGAACCCTAAGCAACATGTCCCTAATCACACTTTACTAATGATCTAGGATTGTCTGCTCGCTCCATTTCTCTCCAAATACCCATCCTAGTTATATGTCACCTTGTCATGCCCAGTATTTATAGTATTACATTTGGCCAGTATTACATTTGGCCCTGCCATAGGTTTTTAATGCGTCGTGGTGTTACTGTTATTGTTTATTGCTTTGTTTATGAGTTTATTTATTGTCTGTATTGCTTTGTTGTTTTTATTGATGTATTTGGGCTCGGTCTCTTGTAAGCCGCACCGAGTCCTCCGGGAGATGGTAGCGGGGTATAAACATTATTATTATTATTATTATTATTATTATTATTATTATTATTATTGAAACATGCAGATTTGAGTAGATCAATAGGTACTGCCTTTGCAGGAAAGTAATGGTGTTCCGTGCAGTCATGATCTGAGTACTATGATTTTTCTTAATGACAAGAAAGCTCCGCATACACCTTGTATATGTTTAAATAAATGATAAAAGGTGGTTTTTTGTGTTTCTGTTCATTGTCACTGTTGAATGCAATAGTACAGCAGCAGAAATCAAGTTTTAACACACGAATGAGACACTGGGGGAGGGCAGTTTGTTTTAAAGCAAAAATCACACTTCTTGGTGGACTGAAAACATCCCCACCTAAGGTCATATAGGTTCATTCACAATAATCTTCTCTCAACCACAGTGTCCTACAGGAGTGCATAACTGTGGCCATCAGTCTTGCTTAGCATAACTGTTATGATATACTAGCCGTCCCCTGCCACGCATTGCTGTGGTCCATTCTGGTGGTCATGGGGGTTGTGTGGGAGGTTTGCCCAATTCTATCATTGTCGGGGTTCAGAATGCTCTGTGATTGTAGGTGAACTACAAATCCCAACAACTACAACTCCCAAATGTCAAGATTCTATTTTCCCCAAACTCCACCAGTGTTCACATTTGGGCATATTGAGTATTCGTGTAGAGTTTGGTCCAGATCCATCATTGCTTGAGTCCACAGTGCTTTCTGGATGTAGGTGAACTACAATTCCAAAACCAAAGGACACTGCCCACCAAACCCTTCCAGTATTTTCTGTTGGTCATGGGAGAACTGTGCGCCAAGTTTAGTTCAATTCCATCTTTGGTGGGGTTCAGAAAGCTCTTTGATTGTAGGTGAACTATAAATCCCAGCAACTACAACTCCCAAATGACAAAATCAATATTTTTTTTTAGTGAAGGACATACATTGGGTTGTTAGGTGTCTTGTGTCCAAATTTGGTATCAATTTGTCCAGTGGTTTTTGAGTTCTGTTAATCCCACAAACAAACAAACATTACATTTTTATTTATATAGAAGATTATGGTACTTTTAGTCCAAAAGTTCCTGATTTAAATGCTTAATTGGACTTAGGTTCAAAAATAATAACAATACTTTATTTATATTCCACCGTTCTCCCCATGGGCACTCAGAGCGGATTACAGTTTAAACAGATACCTGCAAACATTAAATGCCTTGTTACAATACAATGAGACACACAAACACAAACAAAGGCAGAGGCTTCTCCTGTCATATCTGGCTTTGGAGGCGGTGCTCATCTCTGCCTCTGGGGAGGTCCTTTCTCCACTTTCAAACCAAGTGTTGTCACCTCCTGGTTGTGTGGCTGGCAAGATTGTTTGGAGTGTCTCTTGGCTTTTCCTTCTGAAGTGGTACCTATTGATCTACTCATATTTGCATGTTTTCAAAATGCTAGATTAGCAGGAGCTGAAGCTGACAGATGGGAGCTCACCTCATCTCATGGATTTGAACTGCCGACCTTCCGCAGCAGAAGTTTTTAACCCATTGCACCACCGCAGGGAGGTGGCTATGATGGGCTTGGAGAAAAAAAATGGAGAGAGTCTGTAAATGAGACCTAATTCTGTTGTCGGTGGCATTCTTTCTTAGAGCAAAGCTGGAGAAGGAGAAGGAGAGAACCAAGATATCGAATGTCATTCAGAACGAGCTATCGGCTGCAGAAATGGCTGAGGACCTACAGAAAGAGCGCCGCACTTTTCAGCTTCAAATGTGTGAGGTAGGAACTCTTTTGCAGCCATACCACGTGTTCCTTCTGGATGTCTTCTCCTGATCTTAAAACATTTTGTTCAGTCCTCTTCCGTGACTGCATTGCTCTTCATTTTTGGAATCAGTTGACCCTCAGAATCTATTTATGCCCTTTGGCTCCGTTTCAGGCTCTTTCACTAAAAACTCCATGGTAATTCAAAAAGAAGTGGCTGTGACATTAGGTTCACAGTGGCTAAATGCATTTTTGGACTATAGATAGATATATAGATAGAGGAATTAATTAGCACCCATTTATACAAGTCTATGAAATATTTATATTTGTCGTATCAGCAGTGAACCGAGGGTACAGTTATAATCTATATAAATAAAAATGGAATGTTCGTTTGTGCTATTCACAGAACTCAGAAACCGCTGGGGCAATTGACACCAAATTTAGACACGATGTCCCTAACAACCCAATGTATGTTCTCCACTCAAAAAAACAACGAAAACCAAAAGCAGAAAGGACTTCTAAACTGCATGTCCACAAAAGAGAAACTGCATGTCTACAGAGACCCATGGCCATGCCCCCTCCTCGTGGGGAAACAGCCGGCCGTTAAAGCCAGGCGCACGTGCACGGCCACACACACAGACAAGCGAGTGGAGTGGAGGAGGTGGAGGCAGTCTCCTCTTCCTTTCCCTGTTGGAAGAGGAAAGGGCGGATGAGTGCCAGCAGCAGCAACGGAGCAAGGAAGAAGGGGAGGAGGAGGAGGAGGAGGAGGAGGAGGAGGAGGAGGAGGTGAGGAAGGTCCACGGTGCTTGAATGAAGGACCTTCCTTCTCTCCCCCCTTCCCTTCTTTCCCCCTTTCCTTTCCTTTCTTTCCTTCTCCTTCCTTTCCTTCTTTCCCTCCTTCCCTTCCTTCCTGTCCCTCCTTCCTTCTTCCTTTCCTTCTTTTCCTCCCTCCCTCCCTTTCCTTCTTCTTTCCCTTTCTTCATTTCCTTCCCCTTCATTTCCTTCCCTCCCTCCTTTCTTCATCCCCCTCCTTTCTTTCCCTCCTTCCTTCCTCCTTCCTTCTTCTCCTCCCTCCCTCCCTGTCCCTCCTTCTTTCTTTTCCTTCCTTCCCTTCTTTCCCTCCCTCCCTTTTTCCTTCCTTCCTGTCCCTCCTTCCTTCCTTCTTCCTTTCCTTCTTTCTATGTAAGATATAAATACAATATTAAATGGAAGGGACAGTCAAGAAGTAACGAGAGAAGGAGGGAAAGAGGGAAGGAAGGAAGGAAGGAAGGAAGGAAGGAGAGAAGGAGGGGGGGGGAAAAGAAGGAAATAAAGAAAGATAGAGAAGCAAGGAAGGAGAAAAGGAAATAAAAAAGTGAAAGGAAAAAGAGAGGGAAGGAAGAAGAGAAGGAACGAAAGATAGGGAAGGAACTAGCCTCACAGGGGCTTCGAAGAAGGAAGGAAGGAAGGAAGGAAGGAAGGAAGGAAGGAAGGAAGGAAGGAAGGAAGGAAGAAAGAGAAAGAGAAAAGAAAGGGAGGAAAGAAACAGGTAGAGATGGAAGAAAGATGAGAGATAGGGAAAGAAAAAGAGGAAAGGAAGGAAAGAGGGAAGGGGGAGAGAAAGAGGGAGGGAAGGTTGGCCACAGCAACGCGTGGCGGGTACAGCTAGTGTATTAAAAAAACACAACGTTTAAAAAACTTGGTGTTATACAAAATGTCCTTTGACCAGTAGCTGGCCACTTGGAGTGCCTCTGGTGTTGATATATGAAGGCCCTCCATTGTGTGGGTGGCAGGGCTCAGGCTGCATTGTAGTAGATGGTCCGTGGTTTGCTCTTCTCTACACTCGCATGTTATGGACTCTACGCATGTTATGAAGCATTTGTAAAGAAACCCTCTGCATTGTGAGATGGTAAGGAGTTTTGTCAATCTCAGAAAGAATCTCCACATTTGCAAATATTATTTTTGCACATTTCTCTCCATGCATAAAATGTCATAGACAGCTAAAAGTTGGAAGCATTGGATAAGTTATTGTCTAAGGTTTTCATGGCTGGAATCACTGGTTTGTTGTTGGTTTTTCAGGTTGTACGGCCATGTTCTAGAAGCATTCTTTCCTGACATTTCACCTGCATCTGTGGCAAGCATCCTCACAACCTCTGAAGATGCTTGCCACAGATGCAGGCGAAATTTCTTTGGACTTCATTCTGGTCTTGATGTAAATACAATTAGGACACAAGGCGTCATTCAATAGGTGTTGCTATGGCCGGGTCAACATCACTGCGAGGATGCAGTGAATAATGATGTTGATAATTACTATTATTATATTTATTTATACCCTGCTTTATCTCCCCAAAGGGGAATCAAAGTGGCTTGACATAAAAATATTGGTATCCAATTTAAAATATACAAATATACAAACATTAAAACAGAATTAAACACAAACAGCACTCAAAAGTTTAGTTAAAGTCCATCAAAACGTATTCAAAGTTAAAAACCATAGTATCCCCTGACTAGAACTGGTGAATACAGCTGTGACACAGTGTGGTACAACTACAAGAAGTTGGTTTTAGATTGCATGAAGAAGTTTTTTACATATGTGCCCATGCAGTGCCTTGTTGTTGGAGCTCCCGATGGTACAATGGGTTAAACCCTTGTGCTGGCAGGACTGAAGACCAGCAGGTCAGAGGTTCAAATCCTGGGAGAGAGTAGATGAGCTCCCTCTGTCAGCTCTGGCTCCCCCATGCGGGGACATGAGAGAAGCCTCCCACAAGGATGGTAAAACATCAAAACATCTGGGAATCCCCTGGACAATGTCCTTGCAGATAGCCAAATTGCTCTCACCAGAAGTAGTTTAAGTTGCTCCTGACATGAATTTTTAAAAATAATTTCCTACATTCACCTCATGGTAATGACAACTAAAATAAGCATAGAATTATAAGATGGAAAGAGAGCATCAGGGCCATCCAGTCCCTCCCCATTCTGCCATGTAGAATAATATAAACTAATAATAATAATAATAATAATAATAAGAAGAAGAAGAAGAAGAAGAAGAAGAAGAAGACGACAACTCTGGCATAAACCAGTTCAGGTGGTCCCAGTGGTCATTGGCACACTGGGTGCCATGCCAAAAGATCTCAGCCAGCATTTGGAAACAATAAACATTAACAAAATCACGATCTATCAACTGCAAAAGGCCACCTAACTTGGATCTGCGCGCATCATTCGAAAATACATCACACCGTCCTAGGCGCTTGGGAAGTGTTCGACTTGTGATTTTGTGATACGAAATCTAGCATATAGATCTCGTTTGCTGTGACATACTGTGCTTTTGTGTCAGTAAAATAATAATAATAAGCAGAGTGGATTACAGTATACACATATACAGGCAAACATTCAATGCCTTCTATGCAGTGAACAACAATGACATGCAATACACAAACAAAGGCAAAGGTTTCCTTTTCCATCTCCGGCGTCTGGAGGCGGCGCTTAACTCTGGCCATGGGGAAGTGCTCTTGTTTCATTTCCATGCCGAGGACCCTGTTGTCCATAGACTCTTCCTGGTTGTTTTTGCCAGAATGGCTGCATGGGCACCTTTTATCTTCTTTCCAAGGCAGTACCTATTGATCTACTCACATTACATTTTTTTCGAATTGCTAGGTTGGTAAAAGCTAGAGCTAACAGCAGGAGCACACCCCAACTCGTGGCTTCAAACTGCCAACCTTCCAGTCAGCAAGTTTTCTGCAGCTAGCAGTTTAACCCGCTGTGCTGCTGCGGTCCCTACAACTAAAGCAGTCCAAACAACTCTTTTCAATGTGACGTCCTTTCAGATACGAAACCTGGTTGTCTTATCCCCTCTCATTCAAGTCTCCAAGGTTCTACAAGATCCCTTTGATCAATAGTGAGGATCTCCCCCAAGCTTTAGGCCCATATTTTCCCTTAGGTCTTACTTTCATGAAAGATTGCACCGGGGACTAAATGGAGATGAAATAAATCAAGCAATAATACGGCCTTATGTATGAGAAGGAGTGCAGCTAGGAAAGTTTGCAAACCACACCCCACTTTCACTCTCAACTAATCATGGAGAGAAAAAATAGTCCCAAAGGTGTCCCAGCATTTTTGTTATTGCATTGGAATCCACATATACATAGAAACCCCCTTCTCCTCCTAGTTCTGACAGCCCATTCACAGCAGTGCTTGCCTCATTGTCTCTTGAATACTATTTTCCATTGCATTTGACAAGATTCTTGCTGGCTTTTGTACAATAGGATTTTCTGTATGTGTTTAAATCAGACCATCTGGGTCTCTGGGCTGCCAAAGAATGACTTAGTCTTGTCAAAAGACATCTGCTGGTGGATGTTGCAATAGGTCAGGGAGTTTGGTATTTGCAGTAAAGGTGCTTGGGACTATGCATCATCTCATTGTTAACAATATTGGCTTGCATCAGTGTAAAGTATGTGTTGAGACTTGTCTTTGTCTTTTGCTGACAACTATCATATGTAACTTGCATTTGTTATGATAAGTCTATGTAGATCTCTTCTGCAATTTTACAGCAAGGGTTGGGAGCTTTGTTTTCCTTCAGATCTTGGACTATCTGCAGCAGACATCGCCACTGATAACACTATGGAATACGTTTTTTGTTCCTGGGTTATAAAGGTCATTTCCTCATTGGTTCTATCGTAAAAACATGAGAAAAGTTTATTAAACTTCAGAAACATTATTTTGCACATTTTACTCTAGTTTTTCAATGAATATCTCATTGAGAGTGCTTCCAGACAGCACTAAATCATGGGTTTTAAACAAAGGCAAAAAATCCCGGGACTCCAGAAGAGGTCCACATTTATTTCATATCAAAAGCATTGCATAAATTAGTATAAAACTGATAAAAATAGGTGTGCAGGCGGTTAAATATCTTTTGACCAAAAACGGGCAACAGCAACAGCATTGTCTGTAGCCTCCAACAATTCCTCCTCTTTACATGAGGCAGGGCACAATGGACAAGCATACAGATGCGGAGTTGTCTGTTCTGCTCCACAATCACACAA